TATGCAACAGTATACAACATCAACAACAAATGCAAGTATCCAGTTAATGCACTTCACTTGTTATAAAATTATCTATGGCCAGAATCCTGTTGTTGATTGATGCTTGCATACAGCAAATTGCCAGTCATTATGAGATGCACATACCCAGTAGTCCAACCTGCATCTTGTTAATGAGTATCAATTTACTAGCATGACTTACAAGATTTCCTTAACTAAACATAAATGAATTATGTCTTATCTATTTCTTTGGTAATAAAATACAAAAGCATGTCACACACGAATATTTATTTATTTATTATTTATTGGACTTATATACCGCCCCACAGCGCTACAAGCACTCTTCGGGCGGTTTACAATTTTAATTATACAGGCTACACATTGCCCCCCCAGCAAGCTGGGTACTCATTTTACCGACCTCGGAAGGATGGAAGGCTGAGTCAACCTTGAGCCGGCTACCTGGGATTTGAACCCCAGGTCGTGAGCACAGTTTTTTAGCTGCAGTACAGCGTTTTAACCACTGCACCACGAGGAGAAAGCCTTGTCTGTAGCTGCTCACAGACTATGAAACTCCTTCCCAAAAAAGGCTCCACTCCTTGCTTGTCATTGAATCAGCAGGCAAAGACCTACTTATTCTCAGCTGGCAGGGGAGTCAAGGATAGAGATAATCAGCTGGGCAGTGGTGGTTGTTCTATAGTAAAGGCAAGAAATCAATTTCTTCATTTAACCCAAAAGGGGCTAAAGTGTTCAGCCTCATTTCCCCCCTCAGTAAGGACCTCTCATACTTAACAGGAAACATATCTATGACCCAGAATATTGAATCTCTTTTTGTGTGGTTAAGTTCTGTTAAGTGGTTGACAAGAGGACTACCCAGTCTTCTATTTCTTAAATTACTCAGAAGTTCTTCCATTCTTGTCTTAAGAGGTCTAGCGATCTCCCCTATATACAATTCACTGCAAGGACAACTTATGGCATAGATCACTCCCTTGGTATTGCAACTGGTAAATTTCTTCATGATGTATACCTTGCCATTGTGTGGATAATTAAATTCCATCATATGACACGTATTCCTACAGGAGGCACAACGTCCACAGGGATGGTGTCCTGTGGGAGGGGAAGAATCAGGTAGAATGCTCGGGATTTGTGATTCTCTCTTTACTAACTTAACCCCTAGGTTTCTTGTTCTTTTAAATGGTACCTGTATTCCCAAAATCCTTCTATACTTTCTAAGATGAGTCAATGCCTCTTTATGCATTTCTGTAGTTTGTTAGTGACATGATCGTATGTCAGAACACCGTTAACATGATTTTTAGGTTCTTTTGTGTGTTTTTTTAGAAGCTCACTGGTATTATTGGCCTTAAAAAACTATTATCTATGACCTTATGTGGGTAAACCTCTGTCCCTTAACTGATTTCTCAGTATTAGAGATTCCTGCTCAAAGTCCTTCTTTTTGCTGTAGTTTCTCTTCATCCTTAAAAACTGACCATATGGGAGATTTTGAAGTATATAGAATGTGAGCTACCAAACTTCAAATAGGTCTTTCTATATACCTTTGTGTACCATTTCCCTGATTCTTTCTTAATAGTGAGATCTAAGAAATGTATTGTCATATTTATAATTAGTGTCAAATTTAATACTGCTATGCAGAGTATTAAGCCATCCAAAGAACTGTTCTAATAAACTCTCTGGGCATCTCTAAATCATAAAGGCATCATCTATGTATCTAAACTAGTCGATTAAATTCTCTTCAAAGAGAGAGAAAAACATCCACTAACCTTCTCGTATTCACTAGCTGAGATAGCCTTTAAAAGGAATTTCTTTCAATTTAATAATAACTTCTACTGGCAAATAGAAGGAGTGGCCATGGGAAGTGTTATGACTCCAGAAGTAGCCAACTTATATATGCAGTCCTTTGAAGTTAAAGAGGTGGTTACCAGAATGCGTCTTGAGTGGCTCAATACTCTGGATAGCAATATTAAATTTGACACTCCAAGAACACCTGGATTACCAATCAGTGGCTAAGAACACTACATTAAGCAGTATGTGCATATTACATAGATAAAAAAACAAAACCTATTATTGATTCTATTTTCTCCTGCAATACTGAAATCATTCTCCAGACTGCTGCATCAAGCAAATCCTTCTACATCAAAGGCTGAAGTCCTAAAGAGCCTCTATTTTATACCTGGTACTATATTCTTACTATCTTCCACATCAGAACTTTTACACAGTACCTCTCAGAGTCCACAGTCAGAAGGGCTGAAAAAAGGGCAAACAAACAAAAGGCAGGAGGCCTCTCCTTTCTCAGGAAAGTGAAGAAACCAGTGAAATGCTACGTAAGTAAACCATTAGAATGGTGACCAATCAACAAAGAGAGAATGTGCAAGAATCCTAAATTGCAAGGCACAATGTGGCCAAAATAGCTGAATAAACAGGAAATGGCACGAGACTTGGAAATTCATACCAAAACAGTATGAAAGTGGCAGAGGACAGATATGGACGGAGAAAGGAGGGAGATAGGTAGCAGGCAGTAAAGAGAAAATGAAACTGGGATGGTGGGGACAAGCCACCATAAAGATGGGAGAAGGCAAGATCTCAAAATCTGAACAAGACAAGATTCTTTATATGGATTCCAGGTAGCTCTGCCTAGTTGTTAATATAAAAAAACAAAGTATGGTGTGTTTTGTTTCTTAAGCTGATTTTTAATATAGTTTTCATTACATTTTTATTGCATTTGTTTTTATTTGAATTTTATTATTGTTAACCAACTTGACAACCATTATATGGCAGAAAGGTAGGATATAAATTTGCAAATAAATATATACAGAGTACAAGACCAATAAAAGCAAATGGAAGTGGTGTGGATAACACAATACAACATTACACACAAACAGAACTTTAAGTCTCAACATAAAACAAAATCATAATAAAATCTGATACCAAAAGATCTGATGATCTAACTCTTCTTTTATAACCAGTAACTGAAATATTTTTTAAAGTTACAGGCATGGTCACAGGAACAGCAGACAATATCCTTATGTATTTTGTTTCCAACTATCTCCCCCTCTTTAAAATATAACACATCCAACATCTTTGGAAACAGAAAAAAATTGTCTTCAGGAAGTGGAGAATACTTTTAGGTACATATACAAAACAAATTATTTGATTATGGCACAGTTCCCATGGGATGAAGCTATCAGCAGTGGAGACTCTTGTAAAGAAGAGAACCAGGATGTCTAGAGGAAACAGATGCTGGCACATAAAAACATGGCAGTGAACCTTATGATCTTCACTGAAGTAGAATTGCTTTGTCATTAGAAATGAATAAAGACAAAGTTCCTGAGTAAAACTGCAACTTAATATTTCTAAAGTCTCATAAAATGTTTTACCTCTGTAAAAATATATTTCTTAACATTAAGGTTCCCTCTGAGGTGCACATCTGTGCATGCATGACTCCACCCCCCTCCATGCAAAGCTCTCCAAGTACCCACAGAGACAGTTTTCAGCCCCTTTGATTCCAATCACTACAGAACCCCACATGGAGGCAGACTCGTGCATAGGAGAAGCAGAGCCTCACCCAGAAGGGCTGAAAATAAGGGGGAACATTGGTCAACATGCAAAACGTTCTAAGTATAAGATTCATAGTCTGCTGATTTTAGATTGTTATTATTTTAGCACTTAATGTAAAGTATAATATACCAGATTTTCTGCTCCTATTGGACAATACGGAATTAGATGGAGGCAAGACAAATGCTCTCTACCTGCCCCCCAAAATACCCAGCAAGGTAAAAGAATGCCATAAACTACACAGTAACAAGATACATTTAAACTTTAATTGGGTACAGATTTCAGTGAAAGTTATGTATACATTTCAGTAAAACAGAACTGAATTTCAGATATAAATTGCAGTTGAAATCAAATGATAAATAAAACAAGGACGACAATTTGGTTTCTAAACTTTCATCCCTGAGGCTAAGTCTACACTTTATCCACACACCCATATAGATCACTTTTGCACAACACTTTCCATGTTCAGTGACAAGGTTTAACACAGTTGCAATGCGGGATTTCCGAGTTAGGACAGTTTTCATGCCAGCAGCATATGCTTTCAGGAACAACTATTACTTGTGCAGAAGCTCTTCCAGGTGATGGCAAGAAAAGCTTCCTACGACTGGGCTGGTTCATGCATAATTTCCACCAGAAGTCATGGCAAATATGAAGAGGAAGATGAACAAATAGGGACAGAATGCAAACCTGGCATGCTCATCCACTCTCTCTCATTATTTGTGACTACAGTATTTGATAGAACTATGTCATTCATCCCCAGAACTAAGGCATGAATTAAACAGAATAATAAATCAACTCTGAAGCAGGTGGCCAATAGTTCTGTTTTCCGAATACAACATTCTCAAAACCTACCATAGCCAAACTGACTTTTGACTCACATCATATATTTAGCAAGAACTTTACTTCTTTCTTACAAACACCACATAGCTTATGAATCTCCACCACGTGGTTACAGACAGCAATTCTAGTAGGGCATAGCAAAGGGAAATGAGATGGGAAGCAAAGCCATTTCCTGAGCTCCACTAAAAAAACACCATCATGAATCTCCCCATTCATCACCAGCAGTTATTCTAGAAGGCTGTAATGGATGGAAATGATATAAAACTGTGCAGTTCCATCAAGCCTATTGAAAAGCTCTTGATCTTCCTCTCCATCTCTTTTTATTTTGTGTTGTATATTTTATAGAATGCAAGACATAGAAGTGTCTTGACTATACTACCTGCATATACTGTAAGTCCCTCTGGGAATCTTTCTGGGTGACAAGAGATGGTAACCAGAGATGGTAAGAATACATTATTTTCAGATGTGGGTAAATATCACAGTTCGCACCAAGTATCATGCAGAATTAACAGCAACAAAAGCAGACACCATAATTCCTGGAAAGAAACATTTCAAATAAAATGCAAGCAAGGGTAAAGCAATGAAGATCCACTCACCAAGAAGAAAAATTAGATTCCCCCTGCCTCCATACAGTGTTATATCTATGTAAACAAAATGGACAACATAAGTATTAATAGCATTATAAATGCTGAGATCTTCCAAAAGTTCACAGAAATTGGAGCAAACCTGGATCTTTAATGCTTGTCTCTCAATCTCTCAGTTCTGACTCATTCTGATAATGTAATGAGTCTAGCACCTCTCCCTTTCCATCAGATAATCATGTACTGATATGCAGATAATACACTTGCTGGCTCAATTTCTTTAAAAAATATTATTAATTGTTGAATAATTTACTCAAAGATTAAAGTTTCAGGGACTGACTAAATTCTTAGAAAATTAAAATTTCACCTAAACACCCCAAACTATCAGATGTTTGAACCTTCTCCCAACAGGATGTGTAGATAAACAGTTTCTGACAAAGCCCTAGCTAATAATTTTGGTACCATGGGCAAGCATCATCATCTCCCTCCCACTCTGAGACATGGGCAAGAATCTTCCCCAAGAAAAAAAGAGGCTGAATATGGTACCACCCCAGAAGAAAGTTCATACTTTCCAAGGAGAACTGTGAATAGTACTGTGAGGTGTTGGAACTTATTTTTCCAACGCTCACTGATATATTAACTTCTAGATTTCAAGAGAGATATCTGTGTAAGTCTGTGCTGTTTTTGCCTGATATTCTAGATTTCAGTGTCCTCTCCACTTTGGCACCCTGGAGCAAAACCCCAGCTGCCCAGGCCTAGTTGCAGCCCTAGCTTCTGTTCTAAGTTTACCACCAATTGCTGGTTGCAACTCCGGCTGGGCAAGCAATCCCACGGGATCCTTTCATTCCAACAACTGGGCAAGCCTAAGTGCCAAACCACTGCTCTATCCACCTAGATCAAGAATATGAGAACCCTGCTTGATGAGAACAAAAGCCCCTCTAGTTCAGCATCCTGTTTTCCCCAGCAGCCAACCAAATGCCTAAAGGAAGCTCCCAAACAGGAAATGCAACAGCCCCCAGGTCGCAGCTGGAGGGCTTCCAACCTACCCACACAGATCGCTAACCAAGTCACGTCCTCTTTAAATGAGGCACAAAACATGACCAAGAATGCCGTCACCCTGAGAGTTATAGGATTTCCAGCCCAGGGATTCAAAAAGCCAGCCGGACAATGGGGCAAGGATGCCTGCTGCCCCCGCAGAAGGTGGGAGGTTCTCGGAAAACCGAGACCGCGGACCCGCTGGGCTTAGCAACTCCGCAGCGGATGTCCATCATCCTCGGCCAAGGCTCAGATAAAGGGGACGGCAACGCGAAAAGCAGCGGTGTGCGTCCGCGCCGTGTTTTTGTGTTTTCCGCCGCCGGTCTCAAAGCCACCCCGCCGCGCACACTCACCTGCCCGCCGGGCCGCTCTTCGCACCGAGCAGCGCTGCAGCCGCTGCAGCCCCCGGGACTCTGCCGCTGCCTCCGTCGCGGCCGGCGCTGGGGGGGCTCGGCCCCTCCAAGGAACTGGGAGGAAGGCGCCCCCACATCCGGGGCGCCGGGAAGGCCGTGCGGGACCCTCTCTTCTCCTCACAGGCAACGGCGGCGACCGTGGCAGGAGAGAAGGGGGCTGGTCCCTCTCGCCCCGCCACCCCGACTCCTCATTCCCAAGTGGGAGAGAGGCTGAGGAACCACCACCACCCCCCGGTGGGCCACTCTGTGCCGGCCTCAAGTCAGTACCACTCCGACCCTGCCGGCCTTTGCCCTCGCCACACTTCTACCTGCTGCGGTCACCGCCCCCCTTCTTTCTCCCTTCACTTCGGCTCTGCAAACAGTCTCCCCGCCGCCATCTTACTTAGGGAAACACTAGCCAGGCGCATGCGCAACAGGGGGAACCCCGGCTCCAGCAGAGCCCGGGCACTGGTTCGGTGGAGCTAGCCGGAACAGATGAGAAAGAGAGAAGGCCAGTGCGCTTGCGCCAGAGGGCGTGCGCTCGCTTTTTCACGCTCTCTCACACCTGCTGGGCGAGCAGCTGGGAAAGAGGCGGGGCTTGTAATGTATCCGCCGCCTGACAATGAAAGTGTGGCGAGCCAGTCTGGCACCGGGGTGAGGATTTGCATCCTCAGGCTGGCCCTTGGCAGCTCACAGATAAGAGGACAAACCCTGTCGCCAGACTGACTGCTGGAAGGCCATCTGTAAGGAAACTTGCCGTGTTTCAAACACAAGTTTCGGAATGAGAAAATCGGTTGAAGCTAAAGACTCCGAACCTCCTTAAAGACGAGCAGACTTATTTTCGCGTGAGTTGTCGCGGATTACAACTCACTTCCTCAGACTCATCGAGTGTCTAGGGAGAGGATTACAATCCCCGACAGCTCACGCTGAAATAAATCTGTTCGTCTTTAAAGTGGTGAAGCGGACTAACTGAATGCAACTTTGACGTTGTCAGGTACGGTCTACATTGCAATTTGAAATTGCAGCAGTGGTCCTATCAGTAGGAAACATGAGGTACCAGATTTGGGATGTCTTGAAATGACAGCAAACTGTTGTTTTCCCTTCTATTTTAGATTCAAGGGGTCAGGCGAAGTTTTTCTGCTGTTTTCCCTACCTCATGTGCTCAAGTATTTTCCCTGACTGAATCCTATGAGTGAGTCGCCCAGGGCTTCATTGCTTGCTGCATCTCAAGCTGCTAAATATGTTATCTTAACTGAAATGGACTCTAGCCTGCAAAAGCTTGTGCCACAATAAATACGTTTGTTAGTGGTTGAAGTGCTGCTGGATTTTGCATTCTTTTCCATTTGTTTATAGATCGGTTTGCTGTGCCCAGCCATATACAGCATCCCAACAAAGAAATTTCTCACCTTAAGTTGTTCGGTGACGACTGTCATTTTTCTTCCATGTGTATGACCAGTCCTGTCCTGGCTAATCACCTTTTAACTGCCCTTTACTTTCACAGGGCTAGCCTTAAGCCCAGATAATAAGAGCTCAAGAAGGTAAATTGAAAGATAAAAGTAAAATCTTTATTTAACTAAAAAGCACATTCTTGAGCTTGAAGTTCCATGTATTATTAGGGTCAACTTCCTCACACCAGAATTAACTTTCCCTGATAAAAAGTACTGTAATTATATTCTACAACTCACTGGAAAACCCAAACACTTATCCTTAGATGCAATCTAATTCCACCTCCCTGTCATTCTTTTTCAGCTCTTCTTGTTATAGCACCTTTACTTTACTTTTATCAGACTTCTATCCCACCCCCCTAGACAAAGTCTACTCGGGGCGGCTTTAAATAATAAAACTCAACGATATAATACACCTAATAAAATCCTACAACACTTATTTCTATATACATTGCTAAGATGGAATAGTTAAAGAACCAGAAAGTCAGTTAATTGACTGGAGGGAAGGCCTGCCTAAATTACCAGGTTTTTAAATGGCTTTTGAAAACACCCAGCGAGGGAGCCAGACGGATTTCCGTTGGAAGGGTATTCCATAGCCGAGGGGGCCACTGCCGAGAAGGCCCGGTTTCTTGTTCTTTCCTTCCGGGCCTCTCTTGTCGTAAGGCCCCTCAGCCATCCCTGCTGGCTTTGTCGAGTGATTTGGGTAGACCTGGGTGGGAGAAGACGATCTGCCAAGTATCAAGGTCCCAAACCGTATAGGGCTTTGTATTGTCATCATTAGCACTTTGAAATCAATGCGGAAACGGATTGGCAACCAGTGCAGAGCAGCCAGGGTGGGGGAGATATGCTAATATTTTCTCACCCAACTAAGAAGCCTGGCTGCTGCATTTTGCACCTGCTGGCTCTTCCAGGTTGGCTCTCCTTTCTGACTTCTTCCAGTCTATCTCTTCTTGTTGTTCCGGGGTAGAATAGGTGAGGGTTCTGTCTACAATGTGTTCCTGTGTTTTGAAAAACAAGGAGGTTCCTCAAAGAGACAGAAAGCACCCATTGGTTTAAAGCAAAAATATATGGATAAAGATGTTGCATGGATAATGGAGCAAGCTCCAGAGGATAGGATCTGGATCACTGGATTCAAATTACAAAAATAGGAGATCTTAACTAAACATTAAGAAGAACATGGAAATTCATTGGGCATAGGCACAGTAAACCACTACTTGAACATTTCACATATATAGAAGCCTTGTCAGGATCACTATAAGTCAGAAGTAACTTGACAGCACATGAAAACAACAATTATCTGATTTAACCTAAAATAAAGTCATCCAGAAGTTCTTGTGGTTTATGGTAGAGACTTTGCAAAATCAAGGAAAGTATTTGTTTCATATAATAGTAAAATATAGCTATGAGAGGCCCATTATGATACCTCTTTCAAAGGCTGATCTTAAAATATGTAAATAATACACATATTTTTATTTAAGAAAATAACAGGAAAGAGGATGAAAGTATCCTCAAGATGACTAATAATATTTGCAGAAGTAGTAGAGGTATCTTTCTTGTGGAGCACTGACTAATCACGTGAAACATCCTTGGGAAATCATGGGACTGGAGAAGGTATTTATCTCCCAAAAATTACCACCACCCATTAGGTGCGGTGCTCTGTCTCCTTATTCAGGCACAAAGCAAATTGTGGGACTTTAAAGAGTTTCTCCTGCAGCTCCTTCAGTCTCCTGAAGATGAAAGAGAGCCTCCAAACATGGGAGCCTCCAAACAGAAGTAAGAATGACTATCCTTATTTAACAGAAACGTTTAATTTCCAAAACTTTGCTGATGGAGCAGAAGATCTAGGACTAGCAGGCATTTCTTGCTGCAGTCTCAATTTTTGTCAGTCTTTTTCATTATTCATAATAAATATAAAACAGGATCATATAGGGTTTAACATCATGGTTCCTGTCTGGCAGAGGAAAGGGATCCAACACTTGAGCAGGCAATCATTTTTAAGATGTTGAATACAAAATCAGCATTTGTTTAGCATTCCCTAACCTGGTACCTCCAGAGGTATTGACTCCAATCATACTTTGTGAGCAGGGCATCAGGAGAATCTGACAAAGATTTGTCTCTTTTGTCCTATTTTCTCCTATCTAGTGTATTTTAAAGTTTTTACAAGCCACACAAAAATGTGTAAAAACCTGCTTAACCAGCGGAGAGTGTGGGAGAGGGAGATGAGGAATGAGCACACACAACTTCTGCTCTTAAAAAAAGGGGGGGCTAAATTCAAAGAATAAGGATAATGTGGAGAACAGTTTGGTAAGCCCCCATGAATGTGGTAAAATTCCTAATTTCATTGTGGTGCAATTAAGTTATCAAAGTAACAATCACAAACTTTATTGCTTAACTACCCACATCCTGCTTTTCTCCAAGTTAAACAGCTCAGGCTTCTACATTTTTCAGTGAACATTTTAACCTATCTTTTTCTACTTTTTCATTTTCAAAAAGACAATGCCATTGAACCTTAAATCCTTCCTGAACAAAAACAACCCAAAGCAGGCACTACATTTTATATGTGGCCTCAATAAGTACTTTTGTGTACCAAAAAAAGTGATTTTCCTCTGAATTTACCACAGTGTTTAAAACAAACACACATAACAGCGGCATTTTATAGTCGTCTTATAATCATCCAATATCTTGAGAACTTTGTTCTTTGCCTTTTTATAGCTCTCTCAAGCACCCAGCCAATAATGAAAATGCTTACTTGTTCTCTTATGTAGGAGACCACACTTTGTACTATTGAATTTCTTCCTCTTTTTGGCCTTTGTAATTCTTAAGTGAATCATAGATATTTGTATTTCAATAATAACTGGAAGTCTGATTGTCCTGCCTCATTATGAGTGTGCTCTCTTTGTAATGACATTGGAAGCTGTAGTATTATAAGCAAGCCTTTGTTTTATAATATCTAAATATAGATACTGTCCTTCTTTTGCAAGATTGTGGCTATTTCCATTTCTCTTATTTGGAGACTCAAAGAAGCTACTGTTGAAGACTCTGCTTCTTCTCTGGACATTTTTTTTGTTCATGTGTTGTCTATGAACTGTATTGTTTATAAAAATAATAGGGTGCAACACTGATTCATTTAGATTTGAAATCTAATACTGTATAAGATTTAAATCAATAAGATTTTGCCTTTTGGTTCTAAGAGATGTAAACTTTTGGTGGTCGTTATAGATCAGAAACATAATTACTGTGTCTTAGTTAATTTCTTCACATGTTTTCTTCATTCAAAGTGACTTGTAATACTTTTCCTCCTTCAAATGTAAAATGTTTTAAAATTTAAATGCCTAGATTTTAAAGTTTTTCAACTAAGCATCCAGATGGATAAAGAATACATGAAGTTTGGAAAGGGGTGAGTTCAGTTTGAGTCAAACTATTGGCTTGCTCCAAAGAGTTCATTCACTTGCAGATCAGGGTTTCCTTACCCTCTTTTCCCCACTTTCTTTCCCAACACCTTCCAGAATATTGACCCTCTGGATCAAAATACCAAGGATCCATCAACACTAAAAGCCTGTTATCAAAAAATCACACAAAAATTAGAAAAGCAAGTTGGAATCCATAAATAACTTTGAAATGTATCAGTGGATCATGCAATGCAATCTTTAGCATGTTTACTCATAAATTACTTCTACTACCTTGTTTCCCTGAAAACAAGACCTAACCTGAAAAAAAACCCTACTATGATTTTTCAGGACGCTCGTAAAATACACCCTACCCCAAAAATAAGCCCTTGGTAACTGAAACCCCACCCGCCAATATTTGCAGCAACCAGAATATGACATGACTGTATTTGAATAATTGTAGACTGTTGTACATGAAAAAATAAAACATCCCCTGAAAATAGGCCCTACTGTGTTTTTGGAGGAAATTTTAATGTAAGACCCTGTCTTAGTTTCAGGTAAACACTGTAGTTGAATGGGGCTCATTCCCTTAACAGCATGCTTAGGCTGGCAGACTTACTTCCCTTTACAAATGTCTGGAACTGAGTAACCCGGGGGGGGGAAGCAAGTTAGAAGTG